GAATGAGGTAGGATCTCCAGCAAAACTGAATCAGAATGGCTCCAAACTCAGGTGCATCCCACACATTAAAAGGGAGAAGTGAAATGTGGGTGTGAAAGAAGGGAGACTAAGTGAAAATTTAGAAACTGAACGGTGAAACTTACAGCTTTCTTCCTCCACCAAGCACTACAGCCCCGCCATCTAAACTCATTACCTCTGCCAATCCCCTCCTCTCCATTATTCCAGTTACACAGACAGACAGAGAAATGAAGGACCTTTATCTGAAGAAACTGAAAACCCTCTTACCCACTACCCAGAGAAAAGAAGTAAAGGTAAAATATGGGAGGGGCACCCAGCTGGCTCAGTCGGTACAACACGCGACTCTTGATCTCGGGGTTGTAAGTTCGAGCCCCATGTCGGGTATAGAGATTACTTAAAAATAAAATCTTAAAAAAAAAAAGGTAAAACATGGGAGTTTATTAGTCACTAAGCCATGCTCATGCATGCCCAGTGAGCTTTCAATCAGCTTTGAACATTCCTTGAATATGAAGGAACTGCTAAGGATCACACAAATCTGAAGAAAGCCTCCAACAAGACCAAAATCAACGACCAAAAAAAAGTTTTAGAGGAACCAAAAACAATGCAAGAAACGAAGAAACTATAATTAATATCCTTGAAGAGGTAACAGAAGATGCTGCACCCATGAAAAAAGAACAAGATGCTACAATACAGGAACTAAGAGCAAGAGCTCATGAAACATTGTTTTTTTAAAAGAGAGCTAAAATTTAAAAATTCAATAAAAGGGTTGAGATCTCCCAGATTGTGGAAAAAAGACAATTTTTTTGGAGATCAAATTTCTCAACAAGAACATTGGAAGCCAGGCAATAATGGGAACACCTCCAAACTTTTGAGGGAAAATGATTTCCAATATAGAAATCTCTCAACAGCCAAACAGTCTAGCATGAGGGTAAAAATAAATTAAAAAAAAAAAAAATTTCCAGTGCACACTTTCACAGTAATAGTAGAGGAAACCAAAATGAAGGAATAAACCAAAGGACGGCATAGGGTCCAGAAAAAAGGGACTCAGCGAAAGTGAAGGAAATTCTCAGAATGTCAGCTAAGGGAAGTCCCAGATGACAGCTTTGCAGCAGGCCTAAAGAGAAAACAATCCAGACTAAAGCAGGAAGAAAGACAGCTACAGAAGAGATGACTACAGGAACAAATGGAACTGATAAGTTTATCTGACAGATTTGACCATGTGGAAAATTGTACCGAGAAGCATTTTATGGAGCCGCTGGAGGGTACAGAAAGACTTTGCCAGACCAAACTAAGCAAATGAAAAAACTAGGTATGAAAAACAAAGGTTACACAAGAAAATGAAATCATAGTAAACTATTTCAGCAGTGACAAATACTTGGTCATAATGATGAAACCTCTGAATATGAATTTAACCTAAAATTGTGGAATTAACATTAGAAAGATAGGAAAAAGTCTAGTTTGAAAAATCTTCCAACACCTATCCCTTTAAATCACTGACATTTACATACCTTAAATTATTCACTTCTAACAGACTCTTTAACTACAGAGAACAAACCAATGGCACCTAGTGGGTGGGGGAATGGGTTAAATAGGTGATGGGGATTAAGGAATGCACTTGTGATGAGCACCTGGTGATGTATGGAATTGTTGAATCACTGTATCGTACACCTGAAATGAATATAACACTGTATGCTAACTGGAATTAAAATAGAAACAAAATAATTATTATTCAATTCTTTAAAAAAGCCTCTATTTTCATTAGTTAAATTCTGTTAACTATACTTTCAAGGCAAACATTCTGTGAAATGCTCTGGTTTTATCTTGGGATACTTAACAGGATCATTCTAAGGAAAAAAATAAGTTAATAAATGCAAAGCAAAAACACTAACAAAAATGAGAAGAGCTATACAAGTTTTATTAGTTAGTGCAATTGTTAAGGCACTCTGTTATCCAATAATATGTTTGTTCTGTTTGCTATAACATAATTCTAAATGTTGGATACCTTCAGTACATGTCCACTCTTACCTTCCACATTTACCAATTCAAAAATTTATTCAATCTTATAGGAAAATGGGCTGTGAACTCTTTAGTAGATTACCTCTCACCACTAAATCTGGTTATTTTCTAGTTTTAAATATCTAAAACATTTTGCACATTTTCTTTTTATAAGAAATAAATTTAACTTTTACATGATGACTCAGGCTATCATGGAAGTCAGCTACCGCACTATGACTAGATGACCTCACAGGTTTTTGGTGTGTAAGGCACCAACCCTTATGCTAAATGGGCTTAGACTGCTACGCTTTTGTGATTCTGTTGTTTTATCACTCTTAACTTTCAAATCTGTCAATGATTCTTACTCTATCTGGACTGATCCACTTTTTAATTGTTATAAGGTTAAACAAATCATCATATTTCTGACTCAAATAACATTTACTAAATGGCTTGCCAAGCCTTTTCATACACAGTTTCATTTAATACAAGTAATTCCTGTTAAGATGGTAGCCAATGTAAAAATTTAGCAGTTCTCACTAAAGACTTAAAAAAAAAAAACCTACTAGCATACAGGAACTCAACTGGTTAATGGAGTTGGGAGCTAGATTTTTTGGATGTCTGTTTGCCTTTTGAGGGAAGGATCTATTTTCTTTGCTTAGGTGTCTTTATAGCTCACTTCCTGTTCTGATTCAGCTTGTTCAATCAGCCAGCTATGGGATAAATGGGGTCACTGAACTATCCTCTGTGCTATCCATGAACTATCCAACTTAGAGCAACATTAGAAAGAGTTATATATCTAAAAAAACAGACATATCCACTAAGATTTTTTTTTTTTTAAGATAAGGCTAAGCCCAAGGTGGGGCTCGAACTCACTGACCCGAGATCAAAGAGTTGCACGCTCCCGTGGCTGAAGCAGCCAGATGCCCCAACCACTCACTAAGATTCTTACATAAAGCCCAGAGAAACGGACTGTATTACAAATTAGAATTTTCATATTTATAATTACACTTTATTGAATGTATATAATTTTGTTTTAATAACACTGTTGCTGAGGAATTTTCTTAATTAAAACAGAACTTCAATTTAGTTAAAACTGAACTTTAGAAGGGTAATACTTCTTAAGATTTTCACCATTAATCATTAAGACACTGAAAAAAATCCTTTGATTTTTAGATTTTCTTCAGTAAAATAGCAGCATTTCTCTCAAAAAAAAAAAAATGAAAATCTTACAATGGTGTTCATATTTAGTCACTACGAAGAAAAAAACCCTATAGAGGTCATGGAAAAACATGTTCTCCACATCCTAATGTAGAAGCTATCATTCCTCATATTAAGGCTTCATAAAATAATCTGTAGCCTTCGAAAGAAGAATTCTAAATGTAATTTAAAAAACTGGACAAATTTCTCTTTAACAGCCATTTCACATTAAGAGCCATTTTTATGCTCCATATTTTAAGTTAGACTTGGGAAAGAATGCTTATTTATTTTCAGCCATTCCAATACCCTGACAGTGTTATACCCCACACTCACTTCCTCATTCAAAGAACTTAGAAGAATACACTGTTCACACATCAAAAATGAGACTAATACCAAGCTGCAAGCGCACAGACTTTCAAGCACTTTTTACTTTTAAAGGTAAGCATTAAAACGAAATAGCTTTAAAATACTAACCACCTAAAATTCCAGACTAAAAGTAGTGTAAGTTCCATCCTCAAAACCACTTTCCTAGAAGCAACACTCTCCAAAACTGAGAGAACTTTACCCTGTGCCAGAGCACCTGATGGCTATGCTTAGTTGTCCAAGGTTTTCTACAGGCAGAACAGCAGGGAAGAAGTAACCCTGCTACTACATACTCCTGTGCAGCATTTTAAAAAAATTGTGAGAACAGCCATTTCTAATTCAAACATACAGAGAATTATTCATGATTTAAGCTACAATTAGATCAGCAATACTAAAACTGCTTGACATGTCATTTTTCCTCAAAAACACTTTCACAATACATTCTCAATGTATATTTATAATAAAGGTCACTATGTGCTTTAGGCTTTTGATCACATAAATACCTAATTTTCAACCACTCTCCATGTTGTACCACCGTCAGATCAACTGTGTATCAACAAATAAGCAGCTCCATCTATTTCAAATAAATACTTTCTGAAAATCATACGGCTAGCCTACATCTTAAAAGAAAATCGCCTAGCCCTGTCTGAAAAGGACCCTTATGAATTTGCCATTTTCTGATGCTAAAACATTTTGCAGTCACTTGATCTGGCAAAAAAAAAACACGTCAACGCTCCTGATTTTATCATTTGCTGCAGGAGAAAAGAATATGGCTGAAATTTCTTTCTGAAGGGTGGTGGTATTCCAAACAGGACCACTCAAAACACCTGAGAATCCTGAGCGGTGCGGAGGGTGCAGGGAGGCTACCTTACGAGACAGCACACACTTCGGGCCCTGCACACGACCTCATTTCCCTAATAGGGATGAAAAGCTCAGGCCTCTGGTAGCTTCCAGCTGACGCCAAAGCTCTCCACACCCCTCTTTTTGACAGGATTTTCTGGCGTTGGAGTCTGTGTCACAAATAACGAATTCTGTGATCACGTCTAAACGGTCTAATAATGAATCAAGCACCTTTTACAAGACCAAACCCTCCGCGATCCCATTCCCTCCCCCCTCCCTCCGCAGCCCAGCACACCTAGGCGGGCACTCTAGACCGAATTCCACAAATCTTGCAGCGCATTAACTGGGAGATAGAAACAATATAAAAAATAAGTTTCGGCCATTCCCCTCGCCGCAACCGAAATTACAGGCTCCATTTCCTGTCCCCAAGGGGACTGCAAAGTCGCCTGCTGAGAACGGGACGCCTCCCGCCCCCTCCGGGCTGGCGCCCGCGGCCCCCGCGCTCCCCCTGCCCGGGCCCCGCGGGCGCGAAGAGGTGGCGGGGACCCGCGGCGCCCTCCCCTCCCCCTCCCGGCGTCGACACCCACCTCGCGGCAGCGGCTTCAGCTCCCCGTTTTCCTCCCGGGCGGCCCCGCCGGCCTCGCCTGCCCCGCCGAGGCCGTGCCTCCTCCTTTCCTTCTCTCGCTTCTCCTTAGGTCGGCGCGGCTTGGCGTTGGCCGAGGAGGCGGCGGCGGGCAGCAAGAGATGGTGAGGCTGAGCGCGCAGCAGCGGAGGAGGGACCAGCAGTTTGCGCGGCACCGGCTGAGACGAGGAAGCGGAGGCTGAGGAAGGGACCGCGGAGCCAGCGGAAAAAGAGAAACTGCTCCGAGCAGAGGAGGGGGACGCGGCAGCAGACAGACCGGGAAAGCTCCAAGACGCGGGGCTGCCATAGCTCTGAGGCGAAGGTGCCGCCAGCGGCTGCAGCTGCCTGCTGTTCCCGCCGTTGCCCCCCTCTCCGTTCAGTCTCCGCGGCGCCTTCTTCTCCTCAGTCCGGACCTTCTTGGCCGACAGAGGACCCGGTGGGCCCCGGAAGGCGGGCTGCAATTTGCCAAACGGTTCTTTCTCCGAGACGGCGGCGGCGGCGGCGGCGGCAGCGCCGTGCACTGGGCTCGGCGGTTCCGCCATTTTGCGCTCCTGTTGTATTTACTCTCCTCCGCTCCCGGGCGCGGGGCAGGGGCGGGCCCTCAGCGAGGGGCGGGGGAGGGGCGGGGGAGGAGTGGAGCGGCCGGGCCATCGGCAGAGCCCTCTATTGGACGAGCCATGCTGAAGGATCCCTCTGGGAACCAACCAAAGGCGTCAATCTGGAGCCCAAGAGGCGGTATCGCCAAGCGGACCAGGTTTGGAGGTCAAAGCTCCGCGGGGCGCGGCTAGTGGTGGAGCGAACTGTGAGGGGAGGGTCTTCCACTTGTCGCCAGCGTGAACCCTGGTGCCGCGCGAGTGTCCGGAATGAATCCCCAGCTCCGGACCCTCAACTCTGCCCCCTTCCAGGCGCGCTCGTCTCTGCTCCAACTTTGTCCTGTGTCACTTTCTCTTCCTTTTATCCCCTGGGGTCCTTTTGGTCCCTCCCCGTCTCTTCGCGCTCAGAAAGCCGAATTTCGCTGATGCTTAGCTCAGAGAAGAAAATTTTGTGCGGAATTCAGTCCTTCCTTCTGTTAGGCGGCAGTCGTTGGATGGGAGGGACTAAAAATCACTTGGTGTCCTGACAAGATCTGTTACTGTTGCTGAGATCGTCAACGCTAATGCTTTAAGGGAGGTAACTTCGTGCAAAGCCAGAACTTTCGGATTACTTCCGAGCTTGAAGGTAAGACTCCCTGGATAATTTTTCTTTTAAACTTTAGTGGTACACTCTTAAAGCTCTTAATTTTATTGCAATTATTATAACTGAGGCTTGCTAAGAAAAATCCGTTAGCGATATTTACTGATGTTTGAAAAGCAAGGATTTTTTTTAGGTGTAAAATAGCGGTTAGCACCCTGAGTGTTCAGTGCTTTATAAATGTGTATTTTGATTTCTAGCTTAGAAAATAAGGAATTGGGGGAGATGGGTTACAGTAACACGGTTGCAACCAAAGCGAGGAGCAAGATTTTAATTCAACTCAGGTCTCACATAAGATTAACAAGTCAAAGGAATAGATGTAAAAATAAAAGTAGTCAAATCAGGAAATGAGCACTCGGAGAATATGCTAAGTCCTAAAAGGAGCCCTATGTTACCTGTAACTTTTTAGAAAACAGAAGTAACTTTCCAGGATTGCCAATTCTTGTGACCTCACGAAGTTGGAATTTTTTATTTTGTTTTCCCTTTTTTGTTTGTTTGGAATACTTTGGAGTCAAAATTTAATAGTGGACTTTTTTTTAGGTGCCTCAAATTTTTAAAGTAATGAAAGTATTTACTTCCTTTAATACCTTAAACGATGAAAGAAAGTGAAAACTTTGTGGTTGGAATTGACTCTCAGCATATGTCTTCATGAAAAGTAGCATTGTTGGAAGAGTGGACAGAGGATGGGGCTGGAAATCACTGGGTAGTAACTAGCTTTGTAACCTCAGTCACAGTGTTTCATCTGTCAGAACCTCTGTTTTATTTGAATAAATTCAATTACATGATCACTAAAGTCTCTTACATGCTCTTAACTTCTGCCATATTCAAGAATCTTTTCAAAATCACACTGAAACCATTACAATTAAAATAGCCTCTTAATTGTTGACCCTCCAGATACATAAATGTATCTCATATACGTTAATATAGTACCTGGAAACTTGTACCATTTATTTTCTCATCACCCACATAGAAGTCTGGAAAATCCGATTTGGCCCAGCTAAAGTGTACTCTCACTCTCATGAATTTGTTTCTGCTTGCACTATAGTCCTTTATACTGTTATACACGCTTATCAGTCCTAACCCTAAATTTGCATAGCCTGGGCAAGAGTATGGCTTGGAGGCTCACATACTATGTGTCTAAATATTTAAGTTATAAATCAAGATAATAAACTATTATAAAAAATGTATTCTGGGACACCTGGCTGGCTCAGTCAGTGGAGCATGTGACTCTTGATCTCAAGGTTGTGAGTTTGAGTCCCACATTGGGTGTAGAGATTACTTAAAAAAATAAATCTTAAAAAAAGATAAAAATAAAAAATGTATTCTACTCTACCACCTTGACTGAAATAATCTGGAAGGCCAGGTTTAAATTTATAATTCTCAGACTTCTAGTGTTCTCAGCCGGATCCTGTTCTCTTCCCATTCCCAGCTTCTTCACCCACCACACCAGAAGGGACCATGCATGTGTGCACCTAACATGTGCAAGCTTATGTCTGCATCCCTTCTTGCAAATACTGATGTGTAATCAGCAGCTCTGTCTGCCCTCTGATCTAGGCAGACATGGCCCCTTGATTTCCTGGACTTTCTGCTCTTTGCAATAGGAGGAGGATCCTTCCAGGTCTAAGGGCAATTCAGTTATCTGTTATCAGTGCTCAATTATCTGTTTTCTCTCCTGTGTAATCAGACATCCCCTTTCAGCTAGATCAATCCTCATAACAGTGAAGTAGGAGAGAATTCCCACCACTATCACCAATTCCTGTTGGCTTCATCTCTGCTACCACTAAAACCATCCACTTTTCTCCATGCCCATTGTTGGCACCCTATTCAAAGTACTATCCCTTCTCACCAGGATGACTATACTGGCCTTTTTTGTCATCTCTTTATAGTCTTGTTTTTCAGATCTGTTCTCCATTCTATCCAGAATGCTATTTTTAAAACCTAAATTTGATCATATCACTTTCCTTGCTTCAGACCTGCCAATGGCTTCTGTTGTTTTTAGGATAAAGAACAAATCCTTAATGTGACCCATCATGAACTAGTCCCTTCTTCTTCTGTATCAAGGTGAAAGCTCTTTAGTTTCTAGATTGCACCATGCTATCTTTCAACATAAGAGTATTGCATATGTTAGGGCGCCTGGGTGGCTCAGTCGGTTAAGCATCTGCCTTCGGCTCAGGTCATGATCCCAGGTTCCTGGGATCGAGCCCTGCATCAGACTCCCTGCTCAGCAGGAAGCCTGCTTCTCCCTCTCCCTCTGCCTGCTGCTCTGCCTACTTGTGCTCTCCTATCTCTCTGTCAAATAAATAAATAAAATCTTAAAAAAAACAACAAAACAATATTGCATATGTCGTTTCCACTGCCTGGAATGGTTTTCTCTTTACCTGATGCTTATATGATGGTTAGGATAATGAGCACAGTGGAGTAAGATACAATGAATACCTCCTGTATTTCTAACCTGCGTGACTTGATGGACAGTCGTACCATTCACTGCCCTAGGAAACATTGGAAGCGTGACAAGTTTGGGCTACTCCTTGACCTTGGACCTGATGAACATGAGGTGCCTATGAGAAAGCACATCTTTTGGATCTCAGCTCAAGCCAAGTCTCAGTTGTTTGGAAAAGCCTACCTTTTCTTCTCCATCAAGACTAGATTCTTACCTTGTTTGTTCCTGTTCTCTTTATCCCCATTTCTTTCGCTTTTGGTTGTTGTTGTCAGCTCACTGGTAATCTCTCCCATCCGTTTTCATTCCCTTCTCTATAACAACAGCTCTATTGAAAACATACTACCATATATCCTGCTTCTCCATCTTGTTTGAAACTCTGAGGACACAGTCTGTACATTTGAAAGTTGTTCCTTCTCTCTGAGCTGGGGATCACTTCCCCTGTTCTACATCACAGAATTTCAAGTTATTATTACTCTTTCAATATCATGCCAAAAGCCCTCCCTTCTATCAAATTTTTGTATTATGACTGTACCATCCTCCACTGACTTGCTGGTGATTTTGCCACACTTAATGACGACTTTCATACTTTGCTCATGTTCATCCCCTCTACCCTTCAGCCAACATTTTAACTGACCTCAGTGTCCATGCTAATGAGCCACCAAATATTCTTGCCTCTGTTTCTTCTTGGACTTGCATTTCCATTCCATTTCAGTCACAAATTCCAGTGGACCGTCCTTGATCCTTTTCATCACCCTTCCATCTCTGAAATCCTAAACTACAATGCTTTAATATTCAGGGTCCTCACTCCTCTATACCATGCCTTTGTCCTTTGACCTCAGGAGAACTCCCAGACTCTAGATCTTTCTTTTTCACCTAATTATGATTGCCAAATAAAATACAGGACACCCAGTTAAATTTGAATTTGAGATAAACAATGAATAAATTTTTAGTCTAAGTATGCCCCATACAGTATTTGGGACATATTTATACTAAAAAAATATATTCTTTGTTTATGTGAAATTCAAATTTAGGAGCTCCTGGGTGGCTCAGTCAGTTAAGCATCTGCCTTCAGCTCAAATCATGATCCTGGGGTCCTGGGATCAAGCCCAGCATTGGGCTCACTGCTTAGCAGGGAGCCTGCTTCTCCCTCTCCCTCTGTCCCTCCGCCCCTCCCCCCACGCTGTGCACTCTCCCTCTCAAATAAATTAAAATCTAAACAAAAAAAAAAAATTCAAATTTAACCAGATGTCCCTTTTAATTTTCTCAATAGAGCTGATAGCCCTGCACTAATCTATCCTTTTTGTACTTTCTTCACTATCCTATCTAACCTAGAGCCTATGGTATGTAATTGGTACCAAACATTTGCTAGCATCTCAGTTCCTCACACTCTAATCCTCTTCATCTCTATGCTGCTGGTAACCCCTCTACCTGCTCTTCGTATCCAGCCTCCTGAGCATTGGCTCCCTCTTTTCCATTTAAGTGTTGGTGGTTCTTAGGTGTATGTCACTGCTCTTGATCTCACTTTGCACACTTCTGTGTGATATTATGCATCACAGTGTCTTCTGATAGCTCATAAATGCTGACACTTCCCAAGTTCCCTCCTGCCTTAACCTTGTACCTGATTACTGACTCTTATCCAGATGCCAAGTGGACGTCACCACCTTTGTAACCACAAGCACCTCAGAGTTCATGCCACCCATTTCCATCTTCCCATGTGTCATCTCCTACATTCCTTATCATTCAAGCTACAAACTGGGAATCTTCTTTGACTTCTTTTTTTCCCTCCTCCTCTACATTCAATCAGTTACTATCTCTAGTCAGTTTCTCTTCATTCTCGCTGCTGCTTCTTGCCTTCAGGCCTCAAGTCCGCTT